AAAAGATAAAATAAGAAAAAAGATAATTCCTCGTTCGTGTTATCTTTTCGCAGCGCCGAAATTTGGTCGCTCGAAGTTTTGACGATTTTGAAAACAAAAAGTGCAACTGTAAAAAAGCGATCTTGTGTAAATTGCAGAGCTTTTTACGCTGCATCTTATAGTATATTATATGAAAAAAAAGTTCTTAGAAATTTTTCTATTAATATCGATAAGAAAATGTCGCCAACTTTTTGCCCTTACCTTATGAATAGAATACAAGTTGACTTAATTTTATCATAAATATCACTCCGCTAATAAAGAAAAAGTACATCAACGATAAAACCTGTATAAATAAAAAACATTTAGTCATGAATTAGAATAAAGATAAATAGAATTTTGTTTGTTTATGATTCATGTATGAAAACTTATTAATGCTGAGTACTTGCTTTTTATTTTGTGTAGATGACATCTAGTCAACAAACAGGTTTATCTTCTGACCGTATTCGTGGTCCATCTGGGTTTAATGTTAGTCATCTCGAATGTTCTATTTGTCATGAATTAGTCTGGAAACCAGTTGCCTGTCAATCATGTGAAACACCTTTCTGTTCAACATGTATTCATCAATGGCTGATCAAGCATCCAAACCAGTGTCCAAGTCGATGCCAAACATACACTGAACGAAAATGTCCTCCGTTTATAGCTAAGTTACTTTCTCAATTACAAATTGCTTGTTTCTATCAATCTAGTGGTTGCAATCAGGTATTCAAAGAATGGTCACATTTTCAGCTCTTTACTATTTTTTTTTCATAGGTCATTTCATATGAAGGATTAGACAAACATGAGATTGAATGCGATTTTCAGTCTCAGGAATGTACTGGTTGTCAATCACAAATATTAAAAAAAGATTTTGATAATCATATGAGTAACTGTCCATCAATTGAATTAACTTGTCAAGATTGCAAACTTGTATATAGACGAGGTGATGCTGATAGAAAACATACAGAAAACATTTGTTTGAGAGAACAACTTCGACAACTTCGAGATGAATGCAAAGAGAATAAACGTGAGATACAAGAACTTAGTCTTCAATTAAATGAAATGCGTTTATTGAGTATGTAAATTACTACAGTAATTATATTTTCAGTAACAATAATGAAAGAATAATGAGTTTAGATCCAGTGATAAAAAAAACAAGAATCACATTTGATGATTTCGAAGGTGCACCAGACAAATTGTGTCGTATTTCAGTTGAATATCGAGAACTGAAATGGACTGGAATTTCTTGTATGCACAAATCATATGCAGTGCAAAAATACACAGAAAGTGGATATGTAACAGCTTTTGTGCCTGGCAATAGTTCAAACATAGCATTTTTCAAGGAAGCTGCATCGATCAGTGCCAAAAGTCCAAATGAAAAATTTACTTTTGTTTCTGTCACTGCGTGTGCTGCTTGGAGCGATCATCTACAATTAACCATTACAGGACATCGGAATTCAATAGAGATCAGCACATATATGACAACACTTCTTTTTGGTAAACCACAACTTATTCTCCTTCATTGGAAAGATATTGACAAAATCATCTTTAAATCATCTGGTGGTACACCCCATTCTGGCATCGGTGGACCGACAAGAACTCACGTTATACTAACTCAGCTAACACTAGGTCAATTCGACTGAAAATAACACTATCTCACACAACAGAGTATAAGTTTTACGGACTTTAAAGATTTAATATTTTGCGTCACGGAAAATGAAGTACATTGTAATTCGAATAATAAAGATTTAGAATTATCGAAAAGTAGGTTCTCATTGTTTAAAAACACTTGAAATTTAGTGGTTATATGCAAAAAAGGTAATCATTGGCAGAGTAGATCTTGTATCTTACAAATTTGATTGAAAATATCACATTTTTATCACAACTAAATGTTTGAAGTTTCTAGTACACATTTTAATGAATCTGATATAAAATTCAAGAAAACAAGACAAGGAAATCTGTTACAACGAGTAACAATAATGTTTGTCTCTATCTTTCAAATTACAAGAATAAATCTCAAAATTTCTTTCAAAAATTATTTCAAGCAAAGAAATTATGATATACTTGTTCAACTATGCGGATGCTGTTGAGCCGTGATTTCGATTTCAGCGAGATGAAGTAAAAGAAAAACTAAACATTATCTGCGATCATAAATAAGAGAGGTTTTATTTACACTTTTTTTCATTTAAGTTTATGAAGAACCTTTATATTTTATTGCTTTGAGTTTTGCAACTTACAAAGATCTTATTTAGACGATATTGACATTATAAACTTATCGCTATTTTCTGATAATATTTTCATCGTTCCAAAATGGTGTTCATAATCACGTTCGTATCTATTCTCATTAGACATGAATATCATACTAATTGAATGCACATATATTCAATTCAAACATACAAAAACAATAAAGAAAAGTGTTTATTAAATAAGATCGAAAGAAAGAATAAATACAGAATGGACAATGTGAATTTTTACACTTTGAAACTATTGTTTTTCCGGAAACTATAAATCTCTTATACTAAGATAGTGAAAGCGAAGCATCGAATAGAAATGATCTCAGTGGTAATTTAATCGGTTACTGGTTAATCAATGTCTTTTTTTTTAAATATGGGCGAAAAAAGCTTTGAAATTGTCTAGAGCAGTTTTTAGAAAAATTGCCAATTTGAGATTTTTAAATAGCGTAATACACAAGTGTCAGAAATTTTTTGCATAATTTATTTTTTCGTAGAAATTTGACAATTAAGACTTGTTTTTGAATTTTAAAAATTAAAATAGTTTCGTTTTGTTTAATATAATGAATGTAAGGTTAAATAAAGGTCAAAGCACAATCCCAAATAATAATATTTTGAAGGCAAGTTTTACTAAGCTTTCGTATGTAACAATAGAATCCAACTTGTTAGATTAAATTCAATGTTTGACAGACTTGAAAATTCATAGTGAAACATCATTGCCTTCATGGAGCTGGCATGAAAAAAATTGATTGAAAGTTACAGTAAAAATTCTGTAAAAAAAGTCGAGTCTTATCTTTAAAATGTTGAAGCATCTTTATCACAAACTTAAATTCTTGTTTTACTGAAACATTTCAATTCATTACTTGCTTAGATAGGATATTTGGAAAAGCTTGGATTCATTACGATTATAAGAATAGTGTAGCGACCAAAAAAAAAATGAGTAATTTATGTCAAAAGGTCTAACTATTAAACTCAAGATGAGTTATAGAACGTTTCTCAACAGCTAGATATTTGCTTGATCTTTATCAAGAGGGTAATGAATCGAGCATACAATGTTTTCGTAGTTAGATCAAATCTTTTTATCAAATGCTGCATTTACTTTCTGAAAAGTAAAAAACCCTTCATCTAATTGAAACTTCAAAAAATTGATAAACGAGGTTGCATTACCACATTTCATGATTAAAAAGAAGCTTTTCAGCACAGTCCTTGTGGACGGAGATGTGCCATTCGCATGTCTTTTTTCAGTCCTATTATTCAAATACAAAATATCTAAAGTGAAAATCTCTCATAGATGATGGTTTCTTTCCAAGAAAATCGATCGTTAGACAAACAATCTGTCTGATTAATGTGGTAGGAAGCACAGCATCTATGTAGCTCTTCGTTTTACTACATAGGCCGTACACCTCGAACATTGTCATTTTCTGTTTCAATGATCTCAAATATAAAAAATCAGAAAAGATTCGTTCAAACGTAAAATGAAAATATCGACATCGAATGTACACCATCCGTTTTTCGATCTTCAGTGGCAGCTTTAGTTGTCTAAGCGAAGGTTGGTAAAAAGGAAAATTTCAGTGCACTTTTAATGGAGATAACTGAATGATCATTACACTGTATATTTGTACAGACAGAGTCTTGATAGGTATTTGTAGATATCTCGCAGTGATAGTCTCATCGATGTTTTTTTTTTCGAAGAGATCTTTCGTTTATTGAACTACAAGTTGAAACGAAACATTTTCAAATACAAGAAGATGCAAAAGAAAAAAAATACCTTGTGAGAGGAAAAATCGACAGGTATAGATCTGACTTTCATTTTAATCGTATAGAAGTTTACTCGCAATATATAAATTAATTGAAATTGAAGAGCTGGAAATGCAGAATGTTTTGATCCTTAATACATGTTTCCAACATTGTCGAGGTACCGTCTCCTTAGTCGATTCACCATTTTATTTTTAACGAACTTTATATTTTTCATAAGTTTTAACTTTCCTCAAACTTAAAGGCACTCAAATAATTATTATTTCGGTGGTAAAGAGAAATCATTCGAACACATTCTTGATCAGTAGGCTTGAAAAACCTCTACTAATTCCAACCAAGCTTTTATGCACGAATGAAATGTTATTGTTTCTTGTCACATATGTATTTCATTGATTTAACTCTAACAATATTCATACAATGAGTTTTACTTAGATATATCAGCATATCACGAAACTGGATCAAAGAGACACTACAGAAAATAATAGTAAGGTAAAGACTCATCATCATGATAAATAGATGTTTGTTTTTTGTATAGCAGCTGATAGAAGACGTAAAATACGATGTCTATTTTAAATTGATGTTGTATACGACTACTTATTGATGTACAAATACTTATTGAATTATTGAATCGATAGAAGAAAGAGTATATTGACAATTAAGATTTTTCATTCGATGGAAATATGAGTAATTTATGGATGCATTTCATATTTATTATGAGATCACTTTTTTCTATTAAGATACAAATTTTTATCAAGCACTAATAGAGATTTTGACTCATGAACGATCTAGTTTCAATATTATGTAAGTGCCAATAAATTGTCTGTTTAAAATTAAAATTAAATTTTTGATCATAGTTATGATTATGAGTCAATCGGACTGATTTTACCATAAGGAAATGTGAAAGGTATATATTTATTTATTAAAAATCGATGGTTTATGATCCGAAAACTTTATTCATGTTTGCTAAAACTTGTATTGCAATAGTAAAAAATAGCTTCATGATAAATATGAAATAAATAAATAAATAAATAATTCATATTTTCTTATGATTAAATAAGTCCTATTGATTCATGATCATTATTATGATTAAAAACTTTCTTTCTCTTATGAGAAGCCATTTCGATAAAATTTCATTCATTGACACATTGATCCTGAGGTTGGATGCAAGTGTGAGTGATTTATCCTATTTGAGACCTCTCATGTAGACCGAAAGGCTCGGTCATCAACTATCTTGGTGTCCGCGGTACACCATTGGGTATTCTCAGACTTAAATACATGTCATGTGTGTATTAGTTTCTCCTGTGTGTGCATGGTCTTCAGGCAGCGACAACACCAGCAAGGTGGTTTCTCGTTGTGTACCTGTACAAATAGAATAGGAATGAAATTTATTCTTTGTTAAATAGCCATATCATTTTTCATCGTTACTTATTTGATAGAAAAAAAAATAATTAGCATATAAATGACTCTATTCGACAGAAAATCGTTGCACTCGATGGTTCCCACAATCAACGACATAGAGATGACCATATCGATCGAAGGACAAATTCGTCGGATAGGCCAACTGATTTGCTCCTTTTCCTTGACCATTTCCACCCACAACGACGGTGCCCTGTTTTGCTCCTTTAGGCCAACGCATTACCCTATGATTCTCCCACTCTGTCACATAGAGGGTATCAAAAGCATCGACGAATAGTCCGTTAGGAGCTGACAATTGGGTCAGAGCTTCTCCTTTGCCTTGACCTCCAGCGACAATAATCCCTTCTTTCGCACCTTTATTCCATTTCATCACACGTTGATTGCCGTTGTCCGACACGTAGATAGTCTGTTGTCGATCGACAAAGAGGTAGGTTGGCCAGTTGAGTTGATTAAGACCATCACCTTTGCCATAGCCACCGGCCACCACAGTTTCATGTTGGTCTCCCAGCTGATATCGTTTTATTTCATGTTTGTCGGTGTCAGAGATGTAGAGATATCTCTGATCATCCATGGCCAATCCACAACAACGGATATTGTCGAGTATAATTTCGCCTTCAGTAGTGCCACTACGAAGAGACCAGCGTAAGACTCGTCGGTTATCGTAATCACAGATAATCAGACTATCTGTCCCTTTGTCGATCATGACATCAGTTGGACCATCTAGTTGATCCAGTCGCTTTCCTCGACCATGACCGCCAGCTACCACTTGTCCATTCGTATCACCCATCTTCCATCGAATGATACGATGATTGCTGTAGTCAGCGACGATCATCGTCTGATCAACATCAACGAAGAGACCGTAGGGCCAAAAGAGTTGATTAGTGGCATCGCCTTTTTCATGACTTCCGGCAACGATCATTCCATTCTGTGTCCATCGAGCATTAGCTGGAAAATTGGGAATCACTATGATGAACAAAGAAGAAAGTAATTGTCATCGTTGTTGAAGATTTCCCCTTCTTCTGGGTAAGTCCTACGAATGAAACATTCTTTTTCAAGGAAACTTACTCAGGGCAATCCAAATGTAGTGGTAGTGGTCCTTTGATACTGAATAGTAATCTTTAAGAAACCTTTTTATATGCACGGATAGTATGATGTGGATGAATGCAATGGTGTGGGTATGGGATATGGTTGCACAGTGTGAATGGGATGTGAACATGGATGTGTTGCTGAAGAGAGGACAGTGATGGGCACATCCAAATCAATATACACACTTACATTCCTCCCACACCCACATCCACACCTATACACCCTCATCTACCCCGCACCTTCTTGTTCCATGACATACGCCAAAACTAGTAACGAAAAACATAGTGAAGATGGGGTGAAACATGCTTGAGTCAGTGGTACAGAGCCCAGACATATATCCACTGGAAAGAGCATGGTTGATTCGTGATTAGAAGCTGTGTGTCTTCAGCCCATTTACGTAGACGTGCAACATCAAAAACGACTAAAACAAGAATGGAGTAATGTTGCTCTACTTTTATGTTTCAACTTGATTGATTCGATGCCAAATCGTATTCGGAAATACTTAAAAGTCAAGGGAGGACACGTCACTTAATTAGATTGGCAATTAGACTTTTGTTTTTGAAATAAACATAGAATAATGAAAAGTGTCTTGAACGTTTATATACTGTGTAAAAGTTGCGCTTTAGCATCTATCTTTGATCAACAATCAACTTGATCAAACATAAATGGAACATCTGTCTCAAAACTGACAACACATGTATATACAAAGATAACTATCATCTCTTGGTTTTTGTATAGAAAATAAAAAAATAAATTACCTTAAACTTGTACTGTCCACCTTAATTCAAGCTATTGGTATTTTAATGTTTACATAATGATTGACGTCAGCACACATTAGTATTTCAACGCATTCTATTTTCTTTTTCGCTACACAAAATTACTAGCGCCCATGGTTGGTTTCTATAAGTGGTTGCAGCTCACTATGTTCCTATAGTATTTTGAGTTATAAATGTTTTTTCAGTGTCTTGGATTCCAAGCTTCCTTCAGTTTGGACAGTTCTTTTGATTTCTTGAATTCATTGAGTTGTGAGAATTCCTTCCATTTTCTACACTTACGGTATCGGTCTGTTTATTTTTCCAGGCCAATGATGCTCGGCCGTATAAAATCGGAAGCTATCGCATACGTCAGCTGTAAAAAGTCTGACGAACGTTGGTCTTTTTCTGTCGTATTTCACTGCGAAGCATCGTTTATGTTTAGCGTTCTCTCATCAGGACGAAAAGTAGCATCAAAGAATGTTATTGCTACTGACTATTGATCGACCATACTCATTAGGAATAACACGCTAGTCCGGCTGCTGAAAATCTTGATGAATACAGCGTGTTAGACCTAACATTGTATTATCTCTATTTCGAATATATATACTTCGTTAGGTTTTTACAGTCTATTTAAACAGAATACTTCTAGCATTTTAGGCAACTGAAACAGCATCTCAAGAATTGCTAGTAGGATTCCAGGTAATCCTACTAGTATCTCAAATAATGCTTCAGAAGTGCCATATGCTTTATAGATTACGCTAAGAGATAATGCTGGCATAAAACTCGTTGCGTATACTTCAAACTCCTTTTGGTGCTATTAGGTAACATCTGAAACACCGCTGCTGGACTGTTCATATCTGGACTGACCCCAAACTATACATATGACTGTCATCATATGGTTTAGTTCATTTCGATTCTGACTGAGGCTCGAGTAAGTAAGCTTAGAGGTCCTGCAAAAGGCATCCAATACCTGGAAACTTCATACATTTTTGAAGTATCTATGAATCGAAACAAGCCTGTATACTACGATAAATAAAGTTTCATCTGCGCACCCACACCGGTACAGGTAAAAATGTTGTCACCTGGCACTATTAATTCCTTGTAAATCGCTTATTCTAAATATCACTCCCAGGAAATCTTGAATAGGTTCAAAGAGAGTTGTATGTGAAATGTCAACATATGAAATACGGACATATGAGACATGCTCTCCATAGCTTCTATTTTCAAGGCGTCACAAAATGACTTGATCTAGTCAATTTATTTTAGGCCCTCACTCCCCTCCCCAATCAACAAGCTATTTTCTACCGAGAACAAAAGATCTGGATGAAACTTTGAAGGAATATATGTTCGAGTGTGTGTAGCTCACATTCAAGGATCAAAAAGTATGCCATCGTATTTTACGGATTTCTTCTCGAAATCTAACAATACAGATTTCAAGTTCATGTCACAAGCTAGCTAACGCCTGCCGCTACAACTTAACAAGGCCCAATTTTTCAATATGTTGTTTCTTTACTTCTGTTGAAAGCTTAACTTTAAAAATCTGAAAAATAAGGGGTACTTTCATCGAAAAAAATTCAGTTTTATTTTAGAAGTAAGTCAAAAAAATAAAATTCAGCGCTATCAAGTTGTAGAAAGCAATTTTTGCTCCAATGTAAGACCTTGTCGAGCTTTCTAGCACGTAAAACCGTAGATAAATCTTTCAAAAACGAATGGTGAAAAACAGAAAAATCCATTTCGAGAAAAACGCTTAATAAGTTTGGAGTTTCAAAAACTCGATATTTTCTTTCTTCATAAAGCATACAGAAACACGATTTCAAGGGCGCTCGAAGATGTATGGCTCAGCTCTGGGGACACTTGTTGGTTATATTCTTCGTTGTCAGAATCCTACAGAAGTACTTAAAGCATTAAAACAGTTTAAATTTTCGCATCAACTTTTCATCAAGAGACTTCCAGAGAGCTTTGTGGTAGGTCCACTGTAAAGTACTCAAAAATCATGATAAAACCGATAAATCGTAATGCATTCGAGAGTAAAAATTCTGGGCCATTGAACCACGTATAAAGCTCGAAAATCAATATTTTTGAGAAAAATGAAATTTTCTGAGTGTGTGGGGGGGGGGGGGGGGGTTAATTCAAAAATATTAAACTCTTTTAAGAGCCGTTATAGTCATTTCTACCTGAAACCTCCAAATGGCCTGATTTCCAGTTCAGATGGGTGGGTGCTTACGGAAAAAGGGAG